CCAGTCCCAGGTGCCGATGCAGAGGTGGTCCCAGTGCCCAGGGACCCTGTGCCACTGCCGTCAGTGGTGGCAGCTGCCTGCAGCATCACCAGAACTGTGGCCGCCCCTTCTGGGTCAAGAAGGAGGGGATGGAAAGTGTGGGCGCAACCTCTGCCTGTGTGGCCCAGGGTGTCTAAGAAAGCCGAGCCCCAAACTTGCCTCTGTCTGTCTGCTCCGTGCTATGTTTGCAGATCAGGGCAGGGATTCTTCTCTCCCATTGTTTTTCATGGGGGAAAGGGCGAAATGGGCCAGGCCGCTCGGGCTTCCAGTGGCCCCTGGGGCCCATCATGGCAGGAGCTGGTGCAACTGCTGTAGTGAGTTATGGGACTTGGCCTCCAAGACTGCCCCTTGCCAGCCCTAAATTAATGTGCTTTCAAGCCCTCGTAGAGACCTGGGAGCAAGGATCTCTGCCTCCCCTGGAGAGGGGAAGCAGAGCCCTCAGCTCCTCTGCCCACCACCCCCATGCACACCCCTCCGGGCCAGCCTGGGCCTGCTCCCTACAGCCTCTGCTCCAGGGCTTGGCGAATGGTGCCTGTTGTCCTAGGAGGGCTCCATGTCCCCTTCCCTGATGGCTCTGAGGAGGGACATGCAGAAACTTCTTGACCCTGCCAGCAACACTAGAGGGAGGGAAGAGCAGAGCGGAGATGCCCCCACCGGCTCCGTGCTGAGAGATGCCCGGGAGGTAGCCCACTGGGTGCACGCTCACTGCTCGTCCCACCCTCTCCCTTTGCCCCCAGGCTCCTGGTCCATTCCCCTCCCCTAACTCAGTGCCCTGGGTTCCCTCCTACAGGAAGTGCTGTGGGCTCCCCTGGACAGGCTGCCGCACACGAGGACTCGTGGGCATCACTGGGAACAAAGAGGTCACTGCACACCGGCTGCTCCATGGGGCTGTACACTCTACAGGGAGCAGGTCAGCCCAACTGGAGGGGGCAAGCTGGCCTCCCTGCCCGCCTCCCCCCCAGCCAGTTCTGGTACCTGGCTGCTTGGCTGGAGAAGGGCCTGAAAGGCAGGGCTGGTTGGGGGGGAGGGGGGGCACAGCAACAATTTGTAGGACTTGCATGAATAACTGGCCACCGTGAAAGATCAACCAGCCGAGGCCCCGGCCAAGTATTGTTTTTGGAACTAGCTGCTTCTTTTTTCAGCTCCTGTCTTACTTTTCCTTGACCTTCTTCCCTGATTTAAGACACATGCCCAGCCCTTGCCCAGCTGCAGTGAATTAGCAGCTCCTGCTGAGGGCTGCTGGTGGTGCCTGGAGCTTGTCAGGGCTGGGGAGGCTGATAGGCGATCAAGGCCGTCCTCCCCTGTGCCGCTCCATCCCTTCCTCTCCCTGTGTTATGCTCCAGCTGAGTGCTGGGGAGGGCTGGAGTTGACCTAAGGCAGCAGCTCTCCAGAGGCCTGGGGCCAAGTAAGCAGCTTCCTTGCTGTCTGAGGCCCCTGGCTGTGCTGCTGCCCCACTTCTCCCTCCCACCCTGCATGCGTCACCGGGATTAGAGCCAGCACCAGTGATTCTTTGAAACCCACTGTACGTGCCCAGCCGTGACAGCCAGTCTGGGCAGTGCCCACCTGACCCTGGGGATGGGGCAGGCTTTGGGCTCCAGCTCTCTCTCACTCAGGACCATTGTGTTTTGTGACCCTGTTAAACTCTGGGGACTCGTCTGGGGGGGTTGCAAGTATAAAGTGCAAGTCTGCAGCAGAGTGGGACAGGGTAGGGGCCTGGGGGCTGGGAATCGCAGGGTCTGTGCTAGGGCTGGGGGGCTGCCAGGGCTGGGAACTGTAGGTGCTACACAGGGTCATTCAGGGACAGGGTTTCCTCGGCCTGGGAACAGCAGAGTCTGCCCCAAGGTCAGGCTGGGCAAGGGCTCCCTGTCTGTCACACCGCTGAAATAATTTGCTGGCTGACCTTGTGCATGGGCGCACAGCCTGGGATAGACCCTAACAGGAATCCCCTCCCCCAGGCGCACGCATGCCGTGGGCTCTCACCGGGCCCCCGACTGGCAGCCCATTCAGCTCATCGTGTCCACGAGTTGTGCGGAAAGGAGAAGCCGCCCAGCTGAGCAGTGCTGACAGCAGCCGGCCTGGACTCAGGACTCTTGGGTCCCCTTCCTCGCTCTGCTCTTCACCGTGTGTCTGCAGCACATGGCAGGAGGCGGTGTGATGGCGGTGCTGGTTTTGCACCTGTTCTTTGCATAAGCTCAGAGCTGGCTCCCCAGGGCTGTCAAACTAGCACCTTCCACTGGCACGACATCCGCTCGGGTGTAACCCTACGCTGAGAAGGAGCTGCGAAAAGCCTGCGCTCCTCTTGTCGTCCCTCTGTGGGCCCATAGCCGACACGCTCGGCCTGCCTCTAAAACATCGAGCTCTTAGTCTAAATTGCCAGTGGTAGCTTTTTTCCCCAACCCTTGGCAAATGCTGCCTGGGCTCCGAACGCCAAGCTGGGCTCCTTCCTACTCCCACATCATCACCCCATAATGAGAGGCCTCACGGGCCAATTCCTACCCTCCGTGACAACCTCATTTCCTCTGAATCCTGTTCTTGGTGACGCCTCTGCTTTCTTATTCCCACTGAGGGGGCTGCTGGGGTGCAACTCCCTGGCACACAGCAGGCGAGTCCTGCCCACCACGGTCTGATCCAGCTCTTTCTCCCAGAATTGGGATGTCCCTGCAGGCGTGAAAAACAAAAGCAAGCAAAGCCTTGGCTAGTGGCCGGGGGTCAGCCAACCTTACCCTGAGAGCACACAGTGGGCAGGTAGCACCCCAAAGAAGAGGCCGCTTTTATATATTTGTCAGAGCAAAACCACACTCAAAAGCAAAGTCATTTCTAAGTGGTTTTCCAAATTCTTGGGTAAAAGTGCTGCTTCTCGCAGTTCTGGTGTTTTCTTAATAGCTCCAGGGGATGGATCCGTTTCTCCTCTGACTCCGGCTTTACCCAGAGGTAGCTGCACTGATTTCAGGCGGGCTATGCCTGTTTACACCTGGGACAAGTGGGGGGGAGGGGAGCGACAGGATCTGGACCCCATGTGAGTAAGTAGGAGCAGCTTGAGCTGTGGTTTGCAACCTCCTGCCACGGGAGCGTGCTGAGCGGAGATTCAGCACTGCAGCCCCGTTCAAGGAAAACATTTCCCAACTGCTGCCATTGCAGAGCGGTCTTGGCATGCGGGCCTTTTTCCTGATGCAATCCCAATTATCTTTAATGCGAGCCATATTCAAAGCAACGAAAGAGCCCAGCATTTCAGGGAGGTCTGGCACAAGGAACCCACTGGCTCTTGGGTTTCTGCTTGGTTCAAAATCAACCGGGATTTTTCCTTCCTTCACACACACGCGCAAGGGCGGCTGGGAACCTGGCTGGGCTGTTTTTTTAGTGGCAGGAGGCCTCCATAGAGTCATCCCACAGCCTGTCCTTGTTGTGAAGAGCCCTAACACTTATTGATCTCTTCCAGTCACTCTCGCATGTACTTTCCCCCAGCCAGGAAGGCAGGATTTTCCGCAATGGGAAAATCAGACACAGGAGGGGGCAGAGACATGCTTTCCATGTTTTCTTTCTGGGATGGACTCGATCGGAAGTTCCCGCCAAGTGGAAAAAGGCAGTCAGAGCCTGAGCGGCCTGCCAGTGCCATGGCCAGGGGCCAGACGGGCCAGAACTGGAGCAAACTTGGGGCGTTCCCTGCATAGTAGGCAGCAAAACAGCTCCGCTGATTAACGTGCCACCTGTCTGTGCCTGGGCAAGCATCTCGGTGCGGAGGCCTGGGAGATGAGGGACCACAGGTGCTCCCCTGCACCCTTGGGCTTGGATGGGGATGCCTGAGCTTGTGCACTTCCACTGCCCTCATGCACAGGCACCTAGCTGCAGTGCCCAGGAGTTCAGCTCCGCTCCAGCACGGAAATCCAATCCGCCTTTCCCTCCAGGAGGGGTTATTGGAAGAATGCAGCCCCCCAGCCAGGGCTTTGCTCTCTTTTCTCTGGAGGGAGAGGAGCTGCCTGTGGCTCCTCTCCTCTCCTCTCCTCTCCTCGCTTGGCACCAACACAGGTTGCATCAAGGGATGCTCTTCACCTGGCACAGCCTCCGTGAAATCTCAGCCTGGATTCCTGTGCCCGTTGGGAATGGATTCTAGCGCGTGGGTGGGAAGGGGAGAGGGTTAGGTTACTGCAGACACAGCACAGGTTACGTAACACCTCTCCCTCCCTGGCCCGATCAGCTCCATTACGCCCAAGCCGGCCTGGAGAGTTACAGCCTGCAGGATTTATGAGCAAACTCCAGCCACTCGTGCTGGGGCTACTGCAAAGGCTGTGTCCTCCCGTGCCTTTGCGGCAGCGGGGCGGGGGCTGGAGGGCAGACTCCAGGCGCGCCACATCCCTGAGCCCCCAAGGCTGTAGCTTGCTGCGAAGGCAGGAGGCCCTTGGGAGTGAGTGGGCAGCTGGGAGCAGGCATCCTTCTCCCCAGGGAAGCGCACGTACTCGGTAGCACTGCCTGACCCCGACCAGCCCCTCTGCGCGTTTGGCTGGGCCACAGAGGCTGGGTTTGTCTGTTAAACAGAACCACGGGCCCTTGTTTGCTCAGCAAACTGCTCACATCACACTCCTGGGGGGATCCCCAGCAGCCACCTCCACTCCCCACCTATGAGTTGTGCCCCAAACCCTGGGCTCTTGTAGCCTGCTTTGGGGTGGGAGCAGAACCCGGGGCCACCCTTTTTTTGAGCACTAAACCCCATTCCCTACGCAGGGTTGGGAGACAACGCACGAGTCCCAGCCCTGGGTCCCCTAAGCTGTAACCCCTGGACCTCAGTCCTTTTACATGTCTGGCCATAGGACCCAGGAGTCCTTCCTCCCCACCTGGCTCTGCTCTGCTCATGAGGCTACGCCAGTGGCCTCACGAGAGTGTCACATGCGGGGCGCTCTGGGCATCTGCCTGTGCTGCCATGCCCATGCTGTGTCTGTCCTAATGGTGCGTCTCTGCTTTCCCCGCAGGATGAATTCCACCCGTTCATCGAGGCGCTGCTCCCCCATGTCCGGGCCTTTGCCTACACGTGGTTCAACCTGCAGGCCCGCAAGCGCAAGTACTTCAAGAAGCACGAGAAGAGGATGACAAAGGATGAGGAGAGGGCAGTGAAGGACGAGCTGCTCAATGAGAAGCCCGAGGTCAAGCAGAAGTGGGCATCCCGGCTGCTGGCCAAGCTACGCAAGGACATCCGGCCCGAGTGTCGCGAGGACTTTGTGCTCTCCATCACGGGCAAGAAGCCCTCCTGCTGTGTCCTCTCCAACCCCGATCAGAAGGGCAAGATGCGCCGCATCGACTGCCTGCGCCAGGCAGACAAGGTGTGGCGCCTGGATCTGGTCATGGTCATCCTTTTCAAAGGGATCCCTCTGGAGAGCACGGATGGGGAGCGCCTGGTCAAGTCCACACAGTGCACCAACCCCATCCTGTGCGTCCAGCCCCACCACATCAGCGTCTCTGTCAAGGAGCTCGACCTCTACTTGGCGTACTTTGTCCGCGAGAGAGGTAGGTGCTGCGCACGGCCTGGCCTGGCCCGGTGGCGTCTTCTTTGTGGTCTGAGACCCCGTGAGAGCTGGTGCTGCGGTTTTCTCTTGAGGAGATCTGGACAGAGAGGGGAGGAGGATGGGTGCAGAGGTCCATTCCAGGTGGGCACTGAAATCCAGCTCTGCCTCTTATGTTGCCAGAGGACATATCCAGATCCCATTGTGTGGGGAAACGGGGGTCCAGTTCAGGCTCCTGCTCTTCCCAGTGCGGCACCCATGGTCTCTTCCATGGGGCACATTAACTCACCTGCCTGTTCTCAGAGTCCATCCCAAAGGACCACAAATCTAGTTCTGGTTCTTCCCTCCCTTGAGCTCACCCCAGCTGTGCACTAACATCCAGCCTTTTCCTTTTACCTGCATAGCCAAACCCAGCGCGCCTCAAATTCTCTCCCCTGGGACCAGTGCCCCCACCCAGTTCCTTGCCAAATTCCTCCACAATTCCTATGCCTCCTCTTTATGGGGTCCCCCAGGTCCTGACCCCTGCTCCCCATGTTAGCACAGAGAAAACCTCAGCCCAAGGGTGCCATCTTGTGCCCACCTGGAATAGATGCTGGCTGCCAGTGGGGCTTGTCCCCGACGACTTTGCCCCGAGTGCGTGGGTGCCAGGGCTGTGTGTGTTTGCACCCTGTGGAGCACCACGGCATGGGGTGGGGTGTGGGGGTGTTAGAGACGCACTGGAGCATGTTGGTTGTTGCGCTGCTTTGGGTAGTCAGGGATAGAGAGACTCTGGAAACTGGGCCTTTAAAGAACTCGTCTGCAGTCTGCACCACAGACAAGTTAGTTCCCAAACCACCAGTGAGACTCCTGCCCCCCTCCCACCCGCCGCAGGGCCTGCTTCTATTGCTGCCATGTTTCCCAGGCTCCTGGATGCAGTGCCAAGCAGACATGGCATCCCAGTGCTAGGGCGTCTGCATTGCCGCATGGGAAATGTGCTGGAGGGAACGGGCAACCTGGGCCTGGCAGCGCTCCCTGTGCCTGCATGGGGTCACGGATGGGGAAGGGTGGCACAGCGACAGGCCAGCCCTGCTACCAAGCAGACGTGGCTTCTGTGTCCCCTGATCCAGCAGGGATCAGGTGAAACCAGGACAGGGGTGGTCAGGCTGGCCGGGCTTTGTGGGTAGTAGACTATTCTCCTCAAGGAAGTAATGGATGCTGTAGGTGTTTGAATGTAGACTGGAGGACAGCCTGCAGGGGACAAGCCAGCCTCACCCCAGGGAGCCGGACCAGGGTGGACGCAGCCTCAGGTCCTGGCTTTTTGTGCCTCCTGGCTATGTAGCAGGAACAGGAGCAAGTCTGGATGTGCGGGGGTGAGGAGAGGGTGACTGCTGCTCTGAATGCTGTTACTACTGACAGTCCCATGGTTTTTGGAGATCCCCGCTGCGATCGGGGCCCCTCTGCACTGGCACAGAGGGGAGTCTGACCTAGGTGGGCAGATTGGACTGATTTAACAAAATAACAGATTGGGCCTGCCCCAGGGAGCTCGCAGTGTACATAGTAAGATGACAGGAGGGGAACTGAGGCATGGGGAGGGGAGGAAGTGAAGTGCCCAAGGTCAAGCAGCAGGTCAGTGGCAAAGATGCGACTAGCCCATGCTGCCTTCCCACATGTGAAGGGAGCCAGAGCCAAAGTGTTTCAAGCAGCAGATCAGGTCAGTTCTTATTTTATCCAGACAGGTCCCATCCCTGGGCGATAACGCGCTGGCTCGCGTCTCTCCAACAAATCATTTCTAGTGCATGAGTTTTGGGCCAAGATGGGACTTGCAGGTGTAGCTCTTGGAGGAAAGGGCCTTTTTTGGCCTGAAAGCTTGAGTGCTAGACATGATTTGTTGGGCCAATAAAAGGTCTCACATTATCTTGCTCACCGCCGCCCTGTGTAATTCACACTCCACATCACCCTGACGCACGCGCCGTCTCCCTCCAGCTCCAGCCTTAGCAGGATCTCCAGCACCCCTGCTCGAGCTCCTCTCTGGGCCCTTGGCATGGGGGCTGAAAGAGCATGCGGAGGGATGGGGGTGTCACAGGAGAGGCGTGCTGTCCCCCAACTGCTCCAGGCCAAGGTGTTCTCTGTTAGGTTTCTTTCGGCCAGTGGATGCTGAGGCCAGAGAGTTTCAGCCAGTCGCTCTGGGATTCCTGGTATAACTGCAGTTTCCCTTAGGGAGCCTGCTTTCCCGAGGCAGAGGGCTCTGGCCCTGTGGGTGCTGGCCCAGACTTCTTTCACCTAAGGCTGGTGGCTTGGGCATGCCCTGCACCTGGTACCAGGACCAGAGGGTCACACTTGCACATCAGAACGAGCAGGTCCAGGGGCAGCTGACGCCTCCACTGCAGTCCTCCCTTCTCATACAGGCCCTGGTGCTGCTGGATCCTCCCCTCATTGCCACGGGGCTGGGAGAGGCCAGGCTCAGCATTGCTTCTCCATCTGCCACTCCTGGCTCCCCGGCCCAAGGACAGAGAATGACACTGAGTGGGGCACCTCAATGGCTGCGACTCCCGTGAAGGGGGTCTGACTAAATCACATGGAAGCGGGGAGATTGAAGAAGACGTTTCTGCCCCACGGGGAAGTTTGTTTTGCCCTGTCATTTCTCCCACCCCGAATCTTTGCCCTCTCCTCTGATGGGCTACTGCTTCTGCGACCAAGCCAACAAGGAACAAGGCTAGTGCAGGGCAGGGCCGCCATGGGGAGTATGAGAGGCCCTCGTACACCTGAGGGGCACTGGGAAATGCAGTGCAGCCTCAGGGAGGCTCTCGTGGCGTCCATAGGGTCTCTGGGCCATGATTAATCCACAGTGGGGTCTGTGCTGAGGCTGTAGGACTCAGATTGTTCCTGTGGTTCTCTTGCTCTGCAGCCTCTCGCTGGTCTCCAAAGTCCTGGTTTGGGTGTAGAAGGGCTTTTCAGACTGTCCTTGTGGTTACAGAGCAGAGCATGGCATTGCGTGCTCCATGTGCCGGGCCTGGCCGGTCCAGGTGGTTGATATGGGGTGGCACCGGGGAGGCTGTAGTGCATATTTTTGGCTCTGCTCTGCAAGGGCTTGGCTTGCCCAAGGCCTGCGTTCTCCCGCTGCGAATGGGACTGCGTGGCAGTGGGGGGCTGTGGGCAGGGCAGGACGGATTCCCCTTCCCTCCCCAGACTGCTCCCAGGCTTTCCCTGGGAAAGTGCCACAAATGCAGGAAACTGGATCACAGAGACAGAAACTGGATCACAGCTGCCTCTGCACCTCCTCCAGGCCCTCGCTGCACGCTCTAGGCTCAGCAGGTCAGGCTGGCTCAAGTGACAGCCAGGCCCTTCGAGGCTGACCCCAGGGGTGGGTGCTGAGCCAGGCCATGCCCCCGGCTCTGAGACCGGGCACACTTTGGTGGTGCCTGTGACTCCCAAGCCATTTCCCGGGACCCTTAGACATCAGCATTCAGCTCCTTCTCTTGCATCAGCTCCTGCCGCCTGAGAGCAGGTGGGACTGCGATGCACGGGGGGGAGCAGCCCCGAACGCGGAGGCGTGGGAGAGGCAAGAAGGGCCGGAGGCAGGAGGACCTGTCCGCATTTCCAGGGGGGACCTCAAAACCAACGTAGGAGAGGCCTCGGGGAGCTGGCGGGACCCAGGGTCCGAGTCCGCCCCACCGGGCAGCAGGGGCCAGCCCCACGAGGCCAGCCTGGGCCTTCCCGGAGAGAGCAAGGCCCCGCTAGCAACTCGGGCTCGTCGCCCAGGAGCGTGTTTGTGCACGTGCGCGTGTCTTCCCTCCCCGTCGGAGCAGAGCAGGAGCGTGGCCAGAACTGGGCTGAACTGGAGCTGGCAAAGCGGCTGCCGTGTCAGAGGGCCGCGCCAAAGGGCCGCGGGCCCAGCAGGAGAGAGGAGAGGCCGTCGGGCAGGGACAGTCCACCAGCCCCGAGCGCTGGCGGCTCCCGGGCTCGCTGGTTTCTGGCTGCGCGTGGCTGGCTGGGCTGAGCCCTCCTCCTCACCCACTGCCTCCCGACCTTGACCCCAGACGTCTGGGTCCTGGAGGCAGCCTTGGAGTCACCTGATCTGTCTAATTGGTAACAAACCCTGGGCTGTAAATACTCAGCTGATAAGGCTTCTTAACTTGTCACTTTCTCCAGGCGGAGAGGAGCAGCCCTTAAGGTGGCTCCTCGCCCCCGTTTAAGGCGGACCGGGCGGCCTCCAGCACGTTTCTTCCCTCCGGTTGTTTCTCCCCGTTCGATGCATTTGTTGCCTTATTAAAAACGCGGTCTGAAATGACATGGGCACGGGATGCATCCACTTCAGCGGATGCCTGGTCCGGGGCGCTCTTCTCCCACCGTGGAGACAGTGCCCAGCCCAGGGGCTGCCCCCTACGCGGGCAGTGATCCAGGCCAGGGCCCGGGACCCCTGCCCCAGAGTCGTTGGCAGGCCAGTGCCCTGGAGTAGCCACCGGTCTGAAGTGGCTGCAGCGCTGGGGCTGCCCTCATCTCGCCCTGTGAAGCCCAGCATCTGGGCTAGCAGAGCCCGCAGGGAGGCGAGGATGCTTGGGAGCCTGGAAGCTGGCGAGGGGAACCCTTTATTGCATTGTGAGCTCTTTTCCCCTTCAAAGGCAGGGATATAATCCCCTGACAGAGGCCGGGTCAGAGATTAAACGGATGTGGCATTTGATCTAAAAAATAATCCCATGCCCTATCTGCCCTGTGGCTCCACGGAGGATCCCGGAGCGCTGATGAACTGAGCCTCAGCATGTGCTTTGCAATGCACACGTGTCGCTAGCCTGGTGTCATGGGAGGAGAAACTGAGGCCTGACAACACTGAGACCCTTGTGCAAGGTCACTCTGCAAGGCAGGGCAGAGCCGAAGCGAGACCCATGGGTGGGGGGGAACCCTGTTTTGTGCTGTAGTCTCTAAAAAATATTTGTGCTCAGAGAGACCCAGGAGTCCTGACCCCAGCTGTTGCCTGGGCCCTTGTACATCCCTGAATGCAGGATCCTGGCTTTGGGCTATGAGCGCTGGCAGGATCGGTGCAGGCAGCCTCGGTGGGCCGTTGAGTGCTTTGGGGCTAGGTGCAGGGAGCAAGGGGTCCTTGTGCCCCAGGGCTCCCCAGCTCTCGCTCCTGCCCCTGCTCTGTGCGGCCGTAAGTCTGTCAATCTGCCCCAGGCAGCAGAGCCTTCCCGCCGTGCAGCCACGGAGGTGAGGCAAGAGGCCCGTGTGTGGCTGCTGGCAGCTCTCTCCCGTGCCCCCCGGGAAGCCCCGGGAGCAGCATTGCACACGTGGGGGCTTGGTGTCAGGCGTGTGCATCTGACTTGGGCTCTGACGGGAGCATGGACCTGAACCTGGCAATCTCCTTCAGTTGAAAATCAGCTCCCCCGGGCTGGGGTGGTCCTGGGGAGCAGGCGCTGTGTGTGTGCTAGGGAGGCGTTTAACACGAGAGCTTCTGTACCCGTATCAAATCCTTCATGCTAGTAATCTGGGAGCTCAGTCCTGGCATAGGATCACAGGAAAAATGGGCTGGAAGGGATCTCAGGAGGTCACTAGTCCAGCCCCCTGCTCAGAGCAGGATTAGCCCTGTCTAAATCAGCCAGATTGCCAAGGCACCTCACCGGGCTCCCACCGCCCAGCCCACACGGCCGTCTCTTTCCAGATCCCACCTCCCAGCATGGGATCGTTGCCTCCGTGGCCCCTCGCTGCCTGCGCCGTGGTCCTGTCGCTCCCAGCCCCCACCTGGCAGGGGAGCAGGCGGGGCAGTGCCAGCTTTCATCTGCTCCGTTTTTTTGGAGGGGACGTTGAAATTTTTATGCTCGTAAAAGCACAAGGCTGGATCGGGAAGCTGGAGCCAGTCGGAGTGTGGGCGAGAGGCTTGCAGGCTTCCTCAGCGCCAGGCTGCCAGCGCGTTTCGATCCTCTGGCAACACCTCCCCAGATTCCTGTCCTTGGATCAAACCCAATCGGTAGAGTCAGGCATGCTGAGAGCAGGCACTGTGCAATGCTCCAGCGCCCCCCCAGCCCCCGGCTGCTACCCCAGGCCTGGGCTTCACCCTCACATGTGCCAGCGCCTCTCCCTCCAGACACAAAGCCCTGCTGCTCCAAGTCCCAGGCTCCTCACACATGCGCCCACGTCTGCCAGTGCCCCTCGGTCCTGACCGGCACCCCCCTGCAGATGCTCTTAGTCCTGAGCCATGCACCGTGCTGTTATTTCAGCGCTGGGGCCCTGTGCAGTCCTGCTGCATGGGGCGGGGAGTGGAGATAGGCTGTGAGTGCCCTGAACTCCTGCTGTTTCATGAACTCAACCACATTGATCTCCCCCTCCCCCAGGAGGAAATATCCCATAAAGTATATATCCCATAAAGGTCACCAAGTTCCTCGGAGCCTCCATCCTCCACAGCTTCCCCCCCCGAATGCTACCCACGTTCTCCCCCTTCCTGTGCCCCACAACCCGCAATCGCTCTCTCCATGCTCCGACGCACACGGTCTGGCACACACGGCCGGTCCCACTGTCTGTCGCACACACAGACTCGCGCACATTCCCGCTCGCCCTCTGGAGCAGACTGTCTCTGTCACACCCCCACACATTCCTCTTTCACGCTCATTCTTGCCCATTGAGTCACACACGCTATCTCACACACATGTGCATGCCCAGGTTCACACATCTAATCTCTCTCTCTCTCACACACACACAGGGAGGGACCAGGACCCCAGGCCTCCCAGTGTAGGACCCAGAGCAGGAGAATCGGGGCCCTGGGATGGGGAGAGAAGGACGTTTCCCCCTGGGCCTGCTGGGGCCAAAGGGTCGAGACCTGCCCAGATTCTGGGGCACGGCGGCCAGCGCTGCTGGGAGAAGCCTCGTTAAGATGCAGCCTCCGTTGTCTCCCCACTTTATCAGTCTGGAGCATGTCTGAGCGGCTCCCCCCGCCCCCCACTCCCAGCCCTGCTGATAACGGGCTGAGCAGCGCGAGCACTTCTCTGGTGTCAGCACAATTTCCCAGCCGCTGCTCTGGAAACTGAGGAGCGGGAGATATGGGAAGAAGGACACAGATGCCTGCACCTCCATGGCCCATTCCACCCATCCCTGGGTCCTTCACCGTCACAGCCCTCCTGCCGGCTGCCCCAAGCCCCAGTGCCACCCTCACCCTTCCCCAGCCCCTGTCTTCCCACCCTCAGTGCCCCTTAAATTGTCCTCCCCAGCGCCTCTCCCTGCCTCGGTGCTGATCCTAGTCCCCCTTGATCAGCCCCATCCCCGGCAGGAGCATAACAGAATCCCCACTCTGGACGGGGCCTTTCTCAGGGCTTCAGGGTTGGGATTCAGGATGTGCAGGGAGAGGGATTGGACGCGGGGATGAGTGCTTGCCTCAGCCCTGGCCGTGCCCGCTGCCTCCCCCCGTGGGAGCCGCTGTGTGCCCAGGTGCCAACATGGCCTAAATGCTATGGGGAGTCCCAGCAGCCCCCTGGATGTGCACCCAGGCCTCCTTCATCACTGTAGCACAGAGACACAGCTCAGCTTGCCCCTGCTCCTTGTCGCCCGCACCGCCTACCACTATCTGGGGAGCCGCCATATCCATTGCGGGTTCCTTTCCCCCAGCCTAGCCCTGCAGCAGCCCTTATCCACGTGCTTGCCATGCCCCTTTCATCGGAGAGCCCCAAAACACCACACAGGCCCCAGGGCAGCTTCACATGTGCACATGCCGCAGATGTCACCCCATTTTCCAGATAGAGACACTGAGGCACAGAGCAGGGAAGCAGAGAGATAGGCTTGAACCAGACCTCAGTGCCAGACTCCTCCTCCCTGGGCACCAGAGTCCTTCCACCAAGATGGTGGATCCTTTGGTTCCTCCCTCAGCCCGTGGAAAGGCACTTCTGTAGACCCCAATGAGACAGAGAAACCCTGGTTCCTGCTCCACGTTCGCCTTTCAGCACAGGCCCTGCCCCAGCACTGGAGAAGAGGCAAGGCTGCAGGCAGGGCCGGACACAGGCATGGGCGAACCGGGCGACCGCCTGGGGCCCAGACAGAGAGGGGGCCAAAAATGGTCATTTTTAAATTATTATTATCATTTTCTCTAGCAAAGGGGGGCCCAAAGCTAAAAGTTCTCCCAAGGCCACCAGGAGTCTAGGCACGGTGCTGACTGCAGGCCCACATGCAGCGCGCGGGTGGACCCCAGCACAGCCTGCCATCCCCCGCCCCCTCCCTTGACAGCAGGGACAAGGGGAAGGGTCCTGGTGCTGCCATCGGTCCTGGGCACCACCAGGCTGGCACCACAAGCACGGGCACTGCCCCATGTGTCCCAGAGCTGAGGCTCCACAGAGGTGCCGGCTCTTCCTCCTGGTGCAGGAGCAATGCCATAAATAAGCCGTTCTGCAGAGCGGATTGATTTTATTACACATTATCTTGCAGGGGCCTCGGCAGCTGAGGAGAGCGAGTCTCTGTGGTTTATGCCTCCTGCTGAGGTGGTCAATGGAAAGGCAGGGGCGGGAGGCGGGGGAAGCCCCCACTATGGAGCTGCCTTCAAGGGCATCTGGAATTAATAAGCACTGGGCACCTGCCATTAATGCGTTCATCAGCGCCGAGATTTATAGTGGGGGTGGGAGGCGGGGGGTCAAAGCCCACTTGGAAGGGGTGGCTCCCATAACCTGACTGTGGGGGGAGCTGGAGCAGTCTCTGGGCTGAAGGCCTGGTCTTCCCTGAGATGGCATCAAGTGGAAGGGGGAGAGGAGGAGGCATGGCCATGAGTAGGGGAAGGGGCCCCAGGATCTGGGGGGAGCGCCTCCACCTTACAGGGCGAGGTTCAGGCAGATTCACCCTACTGGGAAACAGCACATCAGACAGGAGCTCAGCCTCTTTGAGTGACATGGGATGGGGATGGAGCCGGTAGCAGTCTGGTGTCCCAGCCTCTCCGTCACCCTGCTCTGCTCCCAACTTCAAGGAGCTCCAGTTACTGGAGCTTGTTGGTGTCTGGGTGCAGGGAAAGTGCTGCTCCTCCGGCTGCACTGAGCTGGCAGGCGATGCAGAGTGGACACGGGGACTGCGTGAACAGGGAGACGTGGCTGGCAGCCGTCGTGGGGACCTGGGGCTGGGATGGCAGGTGGCTGTGGCCTGAGCCTGAGGGCACCTGCGGGGCTGTGGTTCTGGAGAGCCTAGGACTGGGGTAGCAGGGCTGGGTGGTGGGAGTGTGCCGTGGGGAAGCCCATGCTCTGCCTTCTGGCCCTTTCCTGAGCACAGAGAGAAAACAGCCCTGGAGCTCTGGGGCTCTGGGCCCATTGCTCAACCTCCCTGATGTGCCTCCACGGGGAGTGACCCCTTCCCCCCATCCCAGCCTCCCCCTTCCACTGCAGCCTGGCTGCGGCCGTGTAGATAGGATTTCCGGGGGCGGCAGGGCTGGGCCCTGGGCTGATCCCAGCTGTGGCACGGAGCCAGCCCATGCCCGTTCCACAACAGAAAGCATGGGTGGGACCTTGGGCACCTGCCCCTTCTTTGCACTTGCCCCCTTGGCCTGGTCCTCAGCACCCTGCTGAGCACCGCGAGCTTCTGCTTCCCCCAGCAGCCCTGGCCAAGTCAAAGCATGGCACAGCCCCTCCTCCTTGCTGCCCAGCCCTAAGTGTGGGCTGCTCCTCACCGAGGGCACTCAGCAGGCCAGGGAGGGGGGAAGGCATCTCATCCAGGGCATGGCTGCTACGGCCAGCTTGGTCGAGGATGCCCCTTCTCAGGGATGACGTGTTAAAGGTGGCGGGAGACAGAGGCAGCACATTGCAGTGGTGGGAGCAGAGCTCTGGCTGTCCGGCTCCAGGACCCCAGCTCCTACAGCCAGGTTCAGCTTTCACCCCCCCACATATGCCTCCAGCCCTGTCTGTCCCCTCACATAGCCCCGCTCCTTCCCAGTGCTCCCAGCACACACTGGCCCATCAGTAATGCTGGGGCTGGAGCCAGCCCATGTCCCCCCACCCAAACCCACCTGTCTCTAGGAGGTGCCAGGGCTGCACAGCCCAGGTGCAGGGCTGGGCTGGCTCCACTGCAGTGGGGGAGGGGGCCGCGCTCTGCAGCCCTGGGCTGGGAGCGCTGGGGGAGGAGGGGAGGCAGGGAGGTCGCCAATGAAAGTCAAAAGCATTGCAGTATAATGGTAATCAATCTCCCGGATCAATTGTGCCGGGACCTCCTGAGCATTAAAGAAAGATTCCTCCAGTGCTGCTTATTGCTGACTCGAGTTAGTTTGGGGGGAGACCCTCTTCCCCCATCCCTGCCTGCCACCCCTTCCCCTAAATAAAAGGTGGGGAGAGAGCAGCGGAAATGCCAGGCTACCATAGAGCAGGTAGCGATGCCAGGCAGGAGCTGGAGCAAGAGTGAGGTGTGGGCAGCAGCTCCCCGGTGGGGCTGGGGAGAGCCAGGGGCTGGCAGGAGCCAGTCTTCCCCGCCCCCGCTGGAATCCAGACAGGACGGCAGCACTGCCCAGCACTGCCTGCCCCATGTGCTGGTGAACAGCTAGTAGTGCTGTGAGCTTCCCGCAAGCAGTGCCCTGCTCTGTGTGTTTGTGAGGAACCTTGAGTGCTGTGAGCTGCCTCCCAGGAGTGCCACATTCAGCGACATGAGTTAACTTGATAGGAGATCACCGATCACTGGACCAGTGACCTCCTGAGACCGGTGTTTCTGCGAAGGTCTGGTCTGTCCATCCAGCCCAGCCCTGTTTCCAGATGCCCCCGCAGCAAGCTGGGCTATGCCAAGCTCTGACACCTCCGCTGCTGGAGGATCTCACCGACCCAGACTCTTTTGAACCGCATGTCCGATTCCTGCTTCCCCTGGCAGCTGCCTCCTGTCCTTGTTTTCTCTCGATACCCTCCCTCTCCTTAGCTGTCTCTCCCCCACTCGGCTGCCTGCGCTTGCCAAATGAGCAGGTGTTCAGCCTGGATTCCTATAGCAACACAGGCACAATCCCACTGCTTTGCTGGTGTGTATCAGGGACTTTGTTTTGCTCCTCAGTCACGTGGCAATGAACTTGGAGCCCCACTTCCCCCGCCCCACCCCGCACAAAAATGTTCATGCCCAGTAGCAGTAAATCCCTGACTCCCATGTGCTGGCAGGGGCAGAGTCAGACCTGGGGCCAGTTGCAAGAGGTTTCAGGGCAGTCCAGACTAAAGGGCTGGTCAGAGCAAGGCAGAGATGGTAGGTTGGCATTGAAGCGTGGCATCAGCCTAAGTGGAGTGACCCTCACGTGCCAGTGATATAGCAGGGGTGCGACTGGTTAAACTCAGGGCACATTGGGTAACCCAGGCAAAGGCTATCTTCTCCCTCTGACTCAGTCCCAGCCCTCCTGGTTTCTGCAGCATCTCTAAATCCAGGGCTGGTTTAGAGCAGCCTGGGAACTGCTTGGTCAGCACTTTGGTGGTAGTGCAGGGCAGAGCAGGCAGGGAGGGCAGAGCACGTGGGGTCTTTGGGGCTGGAAACTCCCACCCTCCACTGGGTGAATGCAGCCAGCGCAGGAAGGGGGAGGGAAGGCCAGCGGAGAAGGGCCATGCCGAGAGGTGGGGGAGCCTCAGCGTGTATGAGCCAGGTCGCACCCCCCCAGAGAAAAGCAGGGCATTGCTGCAAACTGAAGCCTGAGCCCAGCACCCAAATCAAGAGCACCTTGTAGGAAGAAGCAGGAGGCAGAGTAATGCAGCACTGAGAGCCAGTCTGCACCCACACGGCAGCTTGCAACAGAGCAGGCAGCCAGGGCCAGATCACCCTCCAGAGTCCTGCTGTCCCCAGCTACCCTGCCGAAGCAAGCAGGCATGAGCATCCCTCAACAGTCCAGCAATGTCCCCATGCACGGGGAAGGGAAAGAGTCCCCCATCCCTACAGAAGCAGCTTTCCCTGGGAAGTTTCTCCAGGGTATTGCTGGATACTGGGAAGCTCTCCTGTCTATTTGTGTTACCCAAGTGCCATGGGCTGGGAAGCTGTCCCGAGAGAAGAACTGGAACTGAATTCAACTGCCCACCTGGACCGGGCTCTGGCTCCATGGCTGCAAGGGAAAGGACCAGTCCTGCATCCCTGTGCTCACCTCCGTGGGCCATAGATAAAACACAGACTGGAATGAACCTTTTTGTTGAGCTGGATTTGGGCGCAAACACTTTGAAGAAGAAAACGATCTGGAGGTCTGTGCCCCATGGAACGGATGCTGGTCCCTCTACACACCTCTGCAGCTGTGGCTGTTGCATGCTACTTTAAGCATGGCTAAAGCCCATCCCACTGCAATGCGATAGCGGAGATTCAGAAAGCAGGGTACCAAAGGAGCCAGAACCGCCTCCCTTCCAATGCCCTGCTGCTGCCTTTCCTCGGGGCGAGTTTTCCAGGCTGGTCTGGCGGAAGGT